GTAGGAATGAAAAATTGAGAAAAAATACAGACAACGAAGCATCTACAATGGCTTCCAAAAAAGTTAGTGGTACTTTGTTATTCTCAAATATGTACATTTATCTTCCATTGATGTTCATACAAAAGATGACTTTGTTTATCCCAAAATCCTCGTGTCACTTGTGTGATAATGACTACGAAATTACATATGAAATTTCGCCCATGTTTGGGCTCCATTTTTTGAAAAAAAAAATTATGTTTTTTTCTTTCTTATTTTCAACCACACATTTAGGAATATCAATGAATTGAATTTTGATCCGAATTCGATGAAATTAATGGGAGATGGATTTAGGGTTTAGTTCGATAACTCGATCAAGATCTGAATTCGTTAACTGAATAAAACAAATATAGATATAAGCCAATCCATTAATTTTAACGTGATTTTGAATTTTGAAATCCATTAATTTTCTCTTGTTAGTGTAGAGATACATTAGAAAAGGCTAAAAAAAATTGTTTGTATTGTAAGAAATTTTATCATTGTTGTTAGGGGGTGAAATTGCGTAATTTATGACTCGATTGCTCCATAAAGTTTATTGAAGCGATTGCAACTAATGTGAAAGTTTTGTGGTCTAATTGTAAGTGGAGTGAAAGTTCAATATGCTGACTGAGATGACAATGCTAGCATTTCTTTAGTTTTAACGAGCACTTCAGCTATTACCGGTTGGCAAGTTAACGGAATCCACAAGCAGTGGTCTAATTGCTTTTCAATTAAAATTTAGTGGTTTGATTGCTTTAAATTGAAGTTTAATGACTCAATTGTAGTTTGGTTAAAAGTTCGGTGACCTCCATTGTAATTAACCCAATTCTTAACTGTTTGGTTCTTCAACAATTTGGGTCCCCCCACCCTTTCTCCAACTAGTATTTGAGCAAAGTTTTGAATTTCAAATTATTGTACAAATAGTATAAATGGTTAATTAGAAATCTATCTGTTACACTACATTTTTATACCTATCTTAATCTACAACATCAAAATACTAGGCCAATATTTATGCTAGGTTTGAATGATACACCTTAATAAATCTAAAATGCAAAATGACTAGACAAACATTTAGATGAACATTGTGACGAACATAAAATATAAATCACTCGAGAATTCATTTGGAATGTTGTGATAAACATAGATTGTTAGAATTTTATAAAACTTTAAATTTCAAGAACTTCAAAACCTTTATCGCCAAGATTATACATGTCAAATCATTAAGAGAATTATTAAATGCGGAACATACATTGATTCATTGAAAATGATTCTTTATTAATGGATCTTGAGTCTCGAAGATCAACTACAATCTCTTGATTTTGGCTTTTTAATTTTTATTGCTTGTTTTTTTATTTTGGCTTCACGCTCTATATTTTTGATTGCTTCACTTCCTTCTTGATTGTTGATTGCGAGTTCAAGATTTTCATCTTCAATATATTTTCTCTTATCATTCTTGTATTGGTGGGATGACACAAAAAATTGGAATCACATATAAATTACACACACACACACACATATGTATATATATGGGGTACTTA